CTCCCATGTCCCCTGCGGGGCTCCGTACGTTAGTTACGATTTTGTGGCAGTCAGCACAATATCGCGTCACCTTGGCAACCAAATAAATCAAGCTTTTTTTAAACAAAAAAAAGAAAGAAAGAAGAAGAAACAGCAACTGTTGTTTTCAACCTAAACATTGATCTTTGTCTAAGTTTAACACCCAACTTCAACCTAATATTTTGTGTTGTGACTCTAACCAAGTAAATTTTTGTTAAAAGAAAAAAAAAGTGTGACATATAAAACTCCAACCTGCCGCGTGGATGAAGCGACTCGCTCGAAGAAGAATAAACTTTAAACCTTAATAATAGCCGGGGTCACATTGGTTGTCTTTAGGACTGAGGGAACTGCTGTAGGAGACGTGAGAGCGTCACATTCATCCACACATGCAGTCAGTGGGGTGAGGTTAGTTCAGGTGATTCTAAACGGCCCATAGATGTGAATGGTTGTGTCTCTGTGTTAGCGCTGGGACAGCCCAGGGTGTACCCCGCCTCTCTTGTATAGCGCTTTGCTAGTCCCTAAGGACCCTAAATCTACCCAATCACACACACATTCACACACTGGTGATGGCAGCTACATTGTAGCCACCTTGCACTTTGACTTTGAGTCAGGTTTGCAATAACATAGTTCAGCACTTTTGTTTTTTTTTTGCTTAATTTGAATACATGTTTGCAGTTTTACCTTTTACTATTTTTAGTTTTATTACTTACTATTTTTGTCCCGTAGATTTCTGCAGAGAAGCACCAGGCGGACCGCAGGAAATGGCTGGAGGAAAAAGTCTCCCTTACTGGCCAAGCTAAAGAGGCCGAGGACAAGAGGAACCAAGAAATGAGGAAGTTTGCCGAAGACAGAGAGCGCTGCACTCGGCTGCAGAGCGAGCTGGTAAGAGGAGGACGATGCTAAAAACTGTCCGACACCCACCATCAACCGATGAGGGTTTGAACCGAGTTAGATTGTGATGGCCATTCAACCACTTTCTTATTATCAAAGGACCCACCTTACAATAAATTCAGCACAGACAAACATATTAATAACAAACCTGATTAGTTAAAATGTGGCTTTTGTGCTTCACAAAGTTGCTTGTGATGCTTACAGCGGAGGATGATTTTTACTGATGGAGTTACTTGTTGGAGCGCAGCTTTAATTGGCGAGAATGTTGGTCGGGCATACATGATGCTGTTTCTCCTTTCCCGTCAGGAGTCCCAGCTGGCCGAAAAGGAGAAAACCATGGAGAATTGGAGGCAGGAGCGAGACACTCTGGTCGCAGCTTTGGAGGTCCAGCTAAAAAGGCTTCTTTCCAGCCAAGCAGAGAAAGACGAGCTCATCCAGCAGCTGCAGCAGAATAACACACAGCCGCCACAAGAGGTCAGTATAGCATAACGAGGATCACAGGCCCCGGAGGCAGAGTCTTTAATCGGGCTCCTGTTATAAGAGAAAGATGGGAAAGGTTAAGCATGGTAGTTTATGGCATGATCATCTGTTTCATGTGCGAGATACGGGTTGATTTTTGCAATGTGCGTCTCAAACACGTCAGGTAATGTCCTTCAGTATAAAGTATATTTATAATAAAATAAGGCTACAGCCCTGCTGTGTTTCACCTCAGTCTATTTACAGCCCATCAGTTCAAAACCTCTGTGATGTGATGGATCACGGTTTAGTCAGAGGTGGACGTTTGAACTTGCACAGCTTCCTGCCGTGTTTTATATCTTTATTTAAACCTTTAAACAGGATTTATTGAAGAGGACTGAATAATGCCTCGTAGAGCAAACAGGTTATCCTCTGATCTGCTCCACGTGTTTGTTTTTAAACCTCACATGCACCTTTGTGAATGTGGAACTGTATCTGTTTTAGCTTTTAGGCTTTTTATCATAGTGTCATCACTCAATGTGACCGGGCAGTCCACCTAAAGCATAAAAGAGTCAGTTGGGGGAGGGGTGTTATAATTATGCACAAACCGTATTGATTTAAAAAAAATTGGTGGAGATGTGCAGCTAGTTTGCTGCAGGCGTCTCTGTATCGGAAAAGCCACTAAGTGACGTAAAGGAAAGTCAATAAGTGTGAATGTGCACACAGATATGTGACATCACTGCAGGGAATCACTGGACTTGTGTTATGAGTGGATACAGTTTCAAATAAAATAGCGTCGAGCCCTGAGAGCACATCCTCTGGTCCTCTCCATGCCTCTCTAAGGATGACTTTATGGGTTGAAACCCTACGCTGTAACGTACGGCGTGACCTGCTGTGCATTTCTGCAGATATTTAAGTGTCCGTCATATTTCTGCCGCCGGTTTTCAAATTTATTTCAAGAAAATGGATCAAAACAAAAAGAGAAACTGATCCAATGCAGAAGGAGCTGCTACCAGCTGATGGTTAGTCACTAATGGACGGTCCACACTAGTGTTGTCTAGGTAACCGTCTAATACATAACCCTCCTCCCCCCGTCATATGTCAGTCAGCAGTATCTTTTGGTCTTATTTGTAGTTTAATTCAGTTTGAATTCTACTGAAAGCGCTGAATGTCATTGGCTTTCTATGATATCGCTGCTGGTCACTTCCTGCGTGGCCGCCCTTTAGCCCCTCCCACCAGCTACGTGAGTGCAGGAGGTGAGGAAGAAAGGAGAGCTGAGTCGAAGCGAGTAAAATGTGACACCCTTGTGTCTGGATCTCTTCAGATATGTTTGATAGAACTGCAGCGCGAGTCGTCTTTAGTTGTCGAGCAGCCGCTGCTGTTTTTTGACCTCAGGTGTGACAGGACAGAAAGTTTGATCGTGTTTGTTAAAAAGTTGTTCTTCCAGTGTTGTTTTCACGCTCCTGCTGTTTGCAGGA